CTGGCCCCACTCACATAGTTGCATTCAGCTGCATGGTCACTGGATCGGGGCTCAGCTGGGACAGTGGAGAGAGTGGGCCCGTCCCCTTCACTGGCCTTTCATCCTCAAAGAGGCTACATTGGGCTTCCTCATCACATGTTCATGTCATATTTTCTGATGTCTCAGTGGCCAAAGAGAGTTGCGTGGCCACGTCCAGTCTTGGTGCAGTCGGGGATCCCACAAGGACGAGAAACTGGGAGGCGTGATTCACCGGGGCTTTGGATGCTTCAGCCCACCACCGGTCAGCAGGTGTCCGCTTGTCACAGTGGAAGGGATGGTACATGCCAGAGTCCTTGTTCTGGAGACGAGGGGCTGGGGCCAAATTTCTGAGGTCCGTAGGGCAGCGATTGGAGCCCTCGACTTGGCTGGACTTGGAGCTGGAAGAGCAGGGCTTGAATCAGATGAAATGAATCCGATATTTACTTCATAGGTTACCTCCAGCATCAGAGGCAGTAATGGTGAAAGCAGGTTGCAAACTTCAGAGGAAGAGAAAGCAGTATTTTTAGGCAGAAAACCCAGGTCAGCCCCACAGCCAGCTTCAAGACCACAGCAAAGCTGCTGTCGCCAGATAATCGGTGAATGTGAATCCACGCTCCCCTAACCCCGGGGCCCCTGTGCCCCAGAGGGACAACTCGCTGAGTGTCTAAAGGTGGGATGTGCTTCATATGTGCTCGTTTGCCTTGCGTTCTTTCCTGTTACGACCTGTATGAGCTAAGTTTAGGCTTTGTCACGAGTAAGAGCAACTCAAAATGAGAGAGACTTGAATGACCTGGAAGTTTTGAGTCCGAAGCAGAGGTCATCGATGGGCAGTTCTGTCCACGTGGCGTGGCCCCAGGGTCCTTACTGCTCACCACCCCGCACCCTCGGGATGTGGTGTCAATGGCGGGGTCCAAGATGGTGGCCCTTGCACATCTTTCATCTGCTCCTCCTTCCAATAAAGACAATTTCTTGGGTGTCCGGTTCGTACCAGGAAGAGACCACGAGGTGCTACACGTGTGAGATGAGAAGTCAGCCCCCTCAAGGTCCTGAGGGAAGGAGGCAGAGAGAAGGTCTTCAAGATGTCGGTGAGGAGAAAACAGATGTGAAGTCCAAGTAATGGCTCGCCTGGGTTGGGACAGTGTTCAAATCACACAAAGTGAGTCCAGTGATATTTACTTCAAAGTGAAAAATGAATATAAGAAGACTTTCTACTACCGTCTTCTCACGTGCCGGTGAACCATCCTGTGCCCTGCTTATTCACCCCTTCCCGGGGGGACCACTGCCCTCAGCAACCTGTATCAGTCACCTACTGCTGCCGGAAAAATCACCACAACCTTGGTGCCATAAAGCCACCCAAATTTATTGTCTTCTAGTTCTAACGGTCAGAAATGATGCATTCAGGGTGTGGGCAGGGCTGCGTCCCTTTTGGAGTCTCTAGGGCAGAGTCCGTTTCCCTTCCTTCTACCAGGACGCTGCCTGAACTCCTTAGCTTGTGACTCCTTTTCCTCCATCTTCAACACTAGCAGTATAGTATCTTCCAGTCTCTCCCCACCACCCCTCTTCTCTCTCCCTCCCTTCCTCCCTCCCCAACAAGTCCTTCTCTGTCGCTGACCCTCCTGCCTCCCGCTTACGAGGACTGCTGGGATTGCATTGGGTTCGCTGGATCATCCATGTTAATCTCCCCATCTCAAGATCCTTAACTCAATCACACCTGCAGTGTCTCTGTTGCCCCGTAAGGTGACATTCACGGTTCTGGGGACTAGGCCTTGGACATCTTGGGGGACCATTTTTCTGCCTACCACACTACCCACTCATTCAACCAGTATTTACTGTGCACCTACCATGTGTTGGGTACTATGTTAGTTGGAGTCAAACAGTCATGGCTCCTGCCCTCCTGGGCGTAGTTCTTCATCTTTTAAAGATAAGCACCAGCTGATAAGGCCCAGAGCAGGTGAATATGTGCAAGAATATGGCTACCGCCCCAGGAGTTCAGCTTCATGACTGGAACTGGCCTCAGTGCCATAAAAGGGAGGGACTTTTTACTCTTCAATGACTCTCCCCCGCTCCCCCTACCTTCTTTCCCCAGAGGGTCACCCCCTCTGTCCCTCTGGCCAGACAGGGAGGGTTTCTCTTGGAGCTTTCTCTTTTCTTTTCTTTTTAAAGATTTTATTTATTTATTTGACAGACAGAGAGAGAGAGGGAAAGCACAGAAGGAGAGTGACAGGGAGAAGCAGACTCCCCGCTGAGCAGGGTGCCCGACGTGGGACTCGATCCCAGGACCCTGGGACCATGACCTGAGCCGAAGGCAGATGCCCAACCGACTGAGCCACCCAGGCGCCCCTGTCCTGTGAGTTTTGATGGGCCTCCCCCATTTGCCTGCTAGCCTTTATTTTTCATGTATCTGTAGTGATGTATTCTATGCAGGGGTTTCGGTTATCATCAGTGAGACAAACAGAGCGGAGTGTGCTTATTTCATCTTAGCCAGACCCAGAGGCTGGAAGAGTTACTTTTCTTTCAGTGAACCCAAAAAGAGGAGATGTCAGCCTTCGTGGCTTTGAGATGAAAGGATAAAGTAAAACAGTAAGACTAGGACCTAATCCCTAATCCTTGGGCAGGAGTTGGGACTGGAGGTCTATTCGTTTGAGCCGCGATTCCTTTAGGGTCCACGAGCGGATCCGGGGGGCTGTAAATGGTTAGCTCCTGTCAGAAAGCCCAAGAACCTGTGTGGCAAGGCTCACAGGAATGTCTGTCTCTCTGGCTCACCACTCCCCACCCTCAGCATCGGAAAAGCAACTCTATACGTGAAGAGTTCACTGCAGTGGATGCTGGAGTACGATAGAAAGGCTCTGGAACGGAGACGCTGTTTGATTTAATAGAAAGTGGGGAAAAATAGGAGATAAGAGACAAGAGAGTTGTAAATCGTTATGTATTCTGTGACTCTAACAGTGTGAATCATTGGCCAGAAGTGGGCAGAGATGTGTAAGAATGAGAGTGAGGGTGTCAGGGAAATGGAAGCATGTGAGATTATGGGAGTCTTATTGTTTTCTTTTTCAAACATTTACTTAATGTTGACTTTTCAAACGTGGAAACGCTAGGACTAACTCCCAGCCGACCGCCTGTTGGCTGTGTTGCTTTCCCAGTTCATCATTTGGAAACACCCCCTTCCTGATTCTCACCTCTCACCGACCCCCGATGGTGTGGTCCTGTGACCTGTTCCTACCACGCTGTGTCCCCCCTCCTCCGGGTCCCGACGGGACACTTCACGGTTCCTGCTTCTTTGATTTTCAATCTTCTGTGGCAGGCATGAGCGAATGTGGGGAAGGGCACTGGATCTTCCTGCTCACTGATGGGTCCTCAGGGCCTACCTACCCAGGGCCTAGCCCATGCTAGGTACCTACTATTTAGAAGCTAGATACTCAAGTCTATGCATGAAAGACAACACTCCACAGCTAAGATTTCTTTTTGCACTTTATTTGGCTTTTTTGGTCTTAGGCACCTTTTTGTACCCACCTATCACTTTCTCGCCATATTGACAAACACTGTCCAAATCTTTCCGCCAAACCAAAACCGGGGAGTACGGGGCATTGGGTTGGCAATCAACCAAAGGAGAAGCCCAGAGATGAAAAAGTATTCGGCGGGAAAGGAAACTCAGAACTCAGATTTTGGCTAAGGCCGTCCTTGTCGAGAATGGTCAGAAAAGCCTGAGGGATTGGGGCCGAAAGGGTTCCAGGGGTGTTGCTCTGTCCGGCCCACTCCTACTGTGACATAAATTCAAACACACATGTGCACTTTCATTTATCTAGGGGCATTTTGAGTTTGTTTCATCCTGGAGGCAAGTACAGGGAATGGCCCAAGCCACAAAGGTGTGCGTTATCACGACAGGCTGGAAGTCGTCCCAACCCAAACAGCCCTAGCACAGAAGGGTTGGAAGAGGCCTCAAGCGTATCTGCTCCCAACAACTTCTTCCGCAAGCGACACTTAGACTTCCTTAACAACAGTCAGGACAAACAATCACCCCACGTTTGCTTGAGCACTCTGAGAAATGGAGAACTCACCTTCTGTGATGGTTAATTTTATGTGTCAACTTGACAGGGTCATGAGGTGCTCAGATATTTGGTTAAATGTTATTTGGGGCATGTCTGCGAGGAGCCTTCCAGACAAGATCAGCGTTTGAGTTGGTGGACTGAGTAAAGCAGATCGCTCTCCCCGATGTGGGTGGGCCTCAGCCCATCTGTCAAGGGCTTGAATAGAGAACAAAGAGGCAGAGGAAGGGAGAATCTGCCCTCAGCTTTACTGGTTGAGCTATGACGTGGGTCTTCTGCCCTGTCTTTCCACCAAGACTAGGCTTAGCTTCCGAGTCATTCTTAATACTGTTTTTTTTTTTTTTTTTTCAGTTGAACAGAACTCACTTTGCAGTCCCTGCCCCAGCCACTGGAAAGTTACTTCTTTCACAGCTTGATCCTCTTTATGCCTTCTAAGACACATCTGATCCTCTGAGTTGGAGACAGTTTCAGGGATGGGACACAGCCTGGGAGGGGCAGAACCTGGAGGATGGTGCGTTGGTATCAGCTTCTTGAGCCTGAGATCCACAAGGCCACGCCAAAGGTTGGTAACGGTATGTATTAGGAGGTACAAAGAGTCTTTCCACTAAATTCCGAAAACCTTCATCTAGGACCAAAGCCCAGGGTCCCCTTGAGGCCCCAGGACCTAGGTTGAGGGCAGCTCGAGGCTACTTATGGAAGTAGCACCTCAGTAGCTGGCTTCCCATCCCTGTGTTCCCTGTTTTCTATATTGTTTTCCTCTGAGAAAGCTGTCAAGTGCTATTTCCCCAATTTCATTTTGAAACCATGGGCTAAGTCATGAAGGAGACAGGCCATTGATCCAAAGAGAAGAAGGGTGGATCTACAGAAACATAAGCTGAAATCCCTTCCACCTTCCAGAAGAGTTTGGAGACTCGGCTATGAATAAAACCCAAATGGTTGTGACGTTAGATTAGCAAAGGTTTATTTTTTAAATACTTAATACTATTAACCATGTAGGGAAATCTTTGGTTTCCTGAAATGGTGAGATCATCCATTTAGACAACCCCATTTTTGACATAATTGTCCAGAGTGGAGGTGGGGTCTGGCTCGGGCTTTCTGGTCACCTTGGTGTCAGATGCAGCTGAGTCCGTGTTCTCCAGCGGGCATGCCTTGTTCCTTTTGGCGAATGCCTGGCTGATTTCTGCCTGGGTTCTGTTTTTCGTCTCAGGCAGGACAAAATAGAAATAGACGGCACCTGTGAGGCAGATTGCGGCAAAGACCAGGAAACAGTAGGTGTCCAGACTTTTCTGTGGGAAGGACAGACAAAGAGCATCAGGTAGACAATCCCCAAACTAGCTGCGAAACCATCTCTGTACAGGGTTTTAAAGCTCCCCATTCCTGTATCAGTATTCCTGGATGGCACACCACGCGTGTGATGTGAACTCTAAAAGTGAACAGTGTTGGATGAAGCATCTGCAGGAGATGTTCTCACATGAGCCATGAATACGTCAGCTTCCAACCCGGGGACCCTCGAGGAAATGGCAGCCTTTTGTTTTCTTTTCTGAAAACTAGGCCTATAAAAAAATAGTCATCATGAAAGCAAAATGTCATACTTGCTGAACGGTATTTTAAGTTCATAGTTACACACCATAAATGAGGGTGTCTGAGGCTGGACCCTGCCGGCTGAAGTCATCTGTGACACCTCCTGTCCCCTCAGACGTCATGCGGGACCCACGCACTAAGTCCCAGTGGGCTTCCTTCCTCAGACAGCTCTCCCGTGTCGCCTGCCCTGGCCTGCCCGCTCCGGAAGTCCAGCCCAGGGGTTGGCTAGGGCCATACGGGACCACCGGACTCTGTCCTTGTGAGGAAGCAACCACAGATGATGATCCATAAATGGATGTGCGTGGCTGTACTCCAGTAGAATTTTATTTACAGAAAAATAGATCAGGCGGTGGGCAGGAGTTTGTGGAACCCTGCCTCACCCAAGCAATCATTGCCTCTCACCTTCTTCACCCGTGTCCCCAATCCACGTGGCCTCTTCCCTGTCTGTTCTCTGCAAGGCAGCCCGGAGAGACTTGCAAAAACATACCTTGGTCATGCAGGCCCCCTGCTTAAAACTTTTCAATTGCTTCCCGTGGCTCTTGGGATGAAAACCCACTTCTTTAGCTAGCCCTGGGGAGTCAGGGAGGTCTCTTCTCTGTGCTTCCTCTGCATTGGCCTTGTCACTCCCACCTCCCACCATGCTTCTGCTGACTTGCTGGTCCCTCTTCCTGTGATTTTCTACCTCCTCAGCTCCTATCTTCTCCTCCAGGGGCTGGTCCTGCCCCAGGCCAGGCCCCTGAAACATCATCTTTCCTGGTTCCATCCTCCTTCCCTGCATGTCGATGGTAACTGCGTAGTTAGGTATGTGGCTACTTGATGAATGACTGCCTGTCACTAGCCAGTACGCTCCATGAGGCAGCAGGGTTATGTCTGGTTTTGCTCATCTTTGTGGCCCAGTGCCCAGGTCAGTGCGTGGACAATAGCAGGTGCTCAGCGGATATTTATGGAGTGAACAAATCAATCGCTCTGTCAGTCAGATTTGAATCCAACAAATCAATCTGTCTTTAAGTTTCCTTGTTGCTATGGACTGACTTATGTGCCCCTCAAATTCATATGTTGAATCTCTAACCCCCAATGTGACTGTATTTGGAGATATGGCTTTTGGGAGGTTATTAAGGTGAAATGAGGTCATAAGGGTGGGGTTCAAATCCCATAAGATGGGTGGCCTTATAAGAAGATGGAGAGAGAGATCGCTCTTTCCTTCCCTGTGTACACCGAGAAGCCACGGGAAGCCACGGTGAAAAGGGGGCCATCTGCCAGCCAGGAAGAGAGCCCTCACCAGAAACTGAGCCAGATAGAGATTCTTAAGCGTCTACCTAGAAAAGCAGATCTTGGGCTGAAGTTGCCCTTGGGCCCTAATCTCCTTACAATTTCAGTCTATTTCAAAATGAAAGCTCTTTGAATTTCTATCTGCTTGTTTGCAGTTCTCTTTTCTGAGGCACTTCTTCTGCAGAACAGGAACTTGCAGAAGACCTCGGGCCCCTCAGATAACCCATTTCTCTAGCCCACCTGGCAGGTACTGCATGCCATCAGGAAGCTGGAAAGCAGAAGCTTGAAACAAGCTCCAGGGCCCGACTTACCACTGACTTGCTCCTGCAAGGACCAGACCAGACCAGCTGGAGCCACAGTGGACCTCCCTGCCTCCCACAGACTTTCCCCTCATTGTAATGCTAAAAATCATGCCCGAGGTGGAGATTTAACATGCAACTAAAGCATATGACATATGAAGAAGCAAGTTCTGGCAAGTGCTTGGACGGCCCTCCTTTCCCACCTCAGCCCCTTCAAATTCTTCCCCTGGCCATAGTTCGGGGAGCAGCTCTGTATCCCTTTTCCTAAGGCTGTCTTCCTCAGGCCTGGGAGTGAGCTAGTAGTAAACACTTCCCGCACCATCCTTGGCCTCGTGTCTGTCTCTACACACGATTCAAAGAACGCCAAGGTCAGTAACAAAACCAACTCTGTTGGCATCTTGCCCTGGCACTTTCAGGCTCCAGAACTGCGAGGAATTAATTTCTCTTGTCTAAGCCCCCCGTCTGTGGTGTTTTGGGACGGCAGCCTGGCCGACTAGACTACCCCTAGCCCTGACTTCCTATCATTTATGACAGGGAATAATTACAACAGCTAGGTCTCTGCTTTGAAATAAAGGACTCGGAATTGAAACTTGTGCAAATTCAAATACTTTAATTGCTGCTGGGAATGGCTAGTCAAGAAGAAAGGATATTTTAAATGATTACTCTTTGCAACAGACGTGTAAACAGGACCATTCGTTCCTGCTGTGGACATGAGCCAGCTTCTGCCCGCAGCTAGGAGCATTACTGATATTAATGCTAGCATCAGTTCCATGCCATGTTTGGTGAGGATTCTGGGCCAGGCACTGAGCTAAGTCCTCTGTGCTCAGGGAATTAAGTAGCCTGCCCGAGGCCTCCCATTGGTTAGCACTGCAGCCAATAGGCTGCAAGTTCAAACTCCGGGTTCTTCATCACTTTGCAAACTGGCTCCTGGTGGCCAGACTTTGGAGCCCTGGCACACCCAGTACCTCCAGTTTCCTAGGCCACAGGTGGCCGAGACACGTGGCAAGCTTTCTGAGCCTCTCATGTCTGAAAATGCCTTTTCCTCTCTCTCATACGTGAAGGTACAGACTTCTAGTTTCAAAATAGCTTTCTCCCTAGACTTGGAAGACAGTGTCCCTTACCCGACAGGTAGAGTCTTGCTCAGGAGCAGAGTGATGTCACCTGATTATCATTTCTTTTCAGGTTATCTGAGTTCTCCCTATGGAACTTTTAGGATTTTCTTTTTTAACTCAGTGTTCTTAAATTGCACATCACTGTGTTTAGAAAGGGATCCTTCGCACCCACTTTGCTTAGCACGAGGCGGGATGTTCATGCTGAGGACTGGTCTTTCTGCAGGTCTGGGACTTTTCCTTCTGTCATTTCTCTGGCCATTCCCTGGTGAAGACCCCTAGCCAGTACCCTGTCCACCATGTCCTGGGACCCCTTCCACTTTCTCAGTGGCCCTGTCCTCTCTCCTTCAGTTCGTCCCATCCACTCTCTAAGAGATGTCCTCGTAATTACGGCTACACCCTTGGGACCCCGTCTCACCTTCTAGCAGGTTGTACCTTTTGTTTGGAGTATATCTAGGATTCTGGGTAGAGGGGGCAGGCAGGCTGGTGTGTTCAGCCACATTTCAATAGACACCTGTGAGCTGAGTCTCGAAGGATGAGAGGTGTGGAGGTTGCAGCTGTTTGGGACTCGAGGAGATGGAGGAAGGGCATACAGGTGAGGGCGGGGACATCCCACATGCCTGAGAACCTGATAAAAAGCTACTGATCCCCTTCTCCATAAAAAGGAAAAAAAAATCTCATACACTTGACGTTTTCAATGCCATTTCTGGAGCGGGGGCATGTCACGGTCTTGTTGAAACTCATCCATGGGCCACCTAGCGTCCACAGTCCCCGGGCTGTAAGTTCCATGATGGTGGGATCCGTGTCACCTGCTCTGCATTGTACCCCCAGCCCAAGACAGTGCCTGGATCACTGAAAGCTCTGTCTTAATAAGAATATGCTGAATGAGTGGATAAATGAATGAAATGAGAGCACTTTCGTGGAGAAGATCGAAGGGACAAAAGGGGGTTCAAATTAGATGTTCATGATGTGGCAAAAATAGAATCCTTCTGCTTGGTCCCCCCGCCCCCCCCATGGGGTGCTGGCCCCCTGGGGGTTCACACCAAGCTCCTGGCTGAGTCCGTGCAAGGACTGCCCCTTAACTGATGGCACGTCGAGTGCCTTAAACTTGTCCCTCCGGGGGACAAGAACAGCAAGGCTGTTCCACTGCGGAGCAGAGCTGACCTGAAGCACCAGGATGCCTCCAGGGGAAGGCGGGAGGAAGCAGGGGACTTAGTGATGTGTCCTGTCTCTGCCGTGTGTGGTGGCTCCTGAGTCACATTACTCGTAGGATCTTGTCGGAGTTGCCTGGGAACCTGTGAGGCAGACACAGCCTCGTGGCTGCCTGATGGCATCTGGGCCCAGCGTGCCTGGCTGGAAGCCACACTGCACGGCCCTGCGGACGCCTCCCGCTCGCAGCCCCCGTCCCCGCAGACCTGCTCTTCTCCACCCGTTCTGCTGCCTTCCCTGAATCACCTCTGGCTACTTCCTCCCTCTCTGCTTGTCTTTGCTCCTACGTCCTGATGCCTTTACTCTGAAACACCTTTTTAAAAAAATATACACATTTTTATCCAGATAGGATTTATATACAGTGACTTGCACAGATCTTAAGTGTAGCTCTCAATGAGTCTGGATTAAAGTACTCCCCTGTGTAACTAACACCTCTGTCAAGACGTAGGACATTTCCACCACTCCAGAAAGTTCCTTGTGCCATTTCTAGTCAGTGCCTCCTCTCTCCTAGCTGCCCCCTGCCGCCCCCAACACACACACCATCAACCACCGTTCTGGTGTCTGTCACCTTAGCCTCCATTTTCTCTGCCCCTGTCCTGAATCTAGGGGCCACCAGGCAGCCTGAGAGTTCTTTTAAAGTCACAAAACGGGTCACGTCTTAAAACCATGCAGTGGCTTCCCAGAGTCCTTTGGTGCCGGGGTGGGCCTCCCTCACAACCGCCTGCGATCCCCTACTTCCCTCAGCTGTCTGCTCTGGGCCGCCTCAGCTTCTGCTGCCCCCACCTCCACTGACTCCCTCAACCTCAGCCTGAAAGCTCC